GCATAATTCAATGTTAACCATTACAGAAATTATAAGAAAAAACAGTAAGCATCTGCTTTTATCCCAGTTCCCACTGCCACAGGCAACTGCTTTCAGTTTTTTCCTGTTCCCTCTAACACTTATCTCTATTCTGCGAAATAACATGTTATATTATTTCCTAATATCTTAATTTAGATACAAATCAGCTAAAATGGTTCTACTACATATAACTAAGACTTGAACATCATCACACACACAATTTCTCATGAAACATGCAGTGTTTGGTGACATTTAACACAAAAAAATAAAAGACCCAAAGACAGATATTGGGGTTCAAGCTTCAAGCTGAAGATCAGAAAAAGCAAAGCAGCCAAGCCAGCAGATCTTACCTCTACCCAGCTGAAATGGCAATCCTGTCTCCACAAGTCCTCAGAGGGAAAAGTTTCTGGATTCCTGTCTCCTCCTTTTACTCCTTTCTCTGTCTCCACCTCCCTAGTGCTGGGATTAAAGGTGTGCGATCCCAGGTGCTGAGATCGCCTTTGTGTGAGCTGTTTCTTTTAGGACTGGATCAATTTCTGGTAGTTAGTGTGCCCTTGAACTAACAAACGCAGAGTGGTCTACCTCTTAATCCTGGGTCCTGGGATTAAGGGTGTGTGCCACCACTGTCTAGGTTCTATAGCTAACTAGTGTGGCGGCTTTGATATTCCCATCTCCAGTGGCTTCAACAAATCATAAACAATGTATCACCACAGTGGCACATACATAAAAGGAAGTCGAGGCAGGAGGATCCCAGCAAATTGGAAGCTGAGTTATTGTTAACAGTGGATTTTAGGCTTGCCAGAACTACAGAGAAAGACCTTTCTGGAAACTAAACATGCTGAGATAAGCTGTAGTGTTTCGGGACCGCACAACCCTCCCTGCTTGCTGGCCCACCTAGTGGGAGCGTACACTTGATCCACAATGGTGACAGAAGCTTCAGCCACAACATTTCCATTTCTGATCAGCCAGAGCAAAAGAATAATGCTTTTAGAATCGTCTTCTCCAAGAACCCCTGAGGACTTCTGATGGATTTACGCAACGTGGTTGCACTCGAGCAAAACTGGATAATGCAGTACTTGGACTGGGGAAATTGGTCCCCAGGGTTAGCAACAGTTCTGCTACGAAAGTGGGAAGGGAAAAATCGACGTTGGAGAAACAGATCTTCTTAACATTGCTGGATACCCACATCTGCCACCTGCCCCTCATCTTTCCATCACTGATAAAACAGCACCTTTTATTATGTTACATTAGTATCCCCATCATCCCCACGGCTGAGCACATTCAGTATCTGCCGACTGGCTTACACTGTCCTCCTTTTCTTCTGTCTCCTGCGTTCCTGTCATGAATTTTTCCTAAGGTTTTGCCAAGAAGCAGGCTTCCTAGAGTGCTCCGCTGTGACCACATGACAACCATCTGAGATTGCCCTTTTCTTTCAGATACTGCCCTCACCTTGTTTTCATACAACACATACACACTGCTGCTGCTTTTTCCTTCTTCCTAGCTTGTGACTTCCAGTGGAACAAACTCTCTAGGGGTTTTCTCTACAGTGGGAGGCAAACATGAGAACTGAATTTCTGAGGTTATAACCCAGAAAACCAAACCGAGAAGAAACCTCTCCTTCACTGAGGATTTTTGATTAATAAATGCAGACAGAATACAGGAAAGAGGAAATATCTACAATAAAATCACAATAAAAAACTATTTCAGGCAAATTCTATTGATATGCAAAGTTTTAGGGAAAAGAAGACATGTAAGTTTCAAGTTATCTGACTCAAGATGTTATTTAGAAACGGTAATGATTTGACAGTGGGAAACAGGACTCATCTCACCAGTACGTGCTAATGTCATCAAGTATAACCTGAGACACTCTAAGAAGGGAACAACACTTCTGGGTAGGTTTTTTTTTTTCTAAAAACAAATGATCTCAATATAGTTACACATAATGTCAGACAAACAGAAATTGCAAGGCAGTCTTTACAATGACCAGGATTCTTCAAAATTCTCAAAGGGCTGAGAAACTGCCACAGACTGAAAAAAAATGGGTACTCTAAGGACAACAAACATTCTAGACTGAACTAGGAAAAATGAACATTAGTAGAAAATGATTAAGTCAAATAAAATCTGGAGGTCAGTAATAATATTGTACCAAGATTAAGTTATAATTTATAATTGTACCAGAGCTAGACAAAGCATTACATTTGTGAGAATCTGGGTGTCTCTGAACTCCATACACTATTTTTGAGACTTTGTATAGTTTTAAATTGTTTCAAATTTAAAAGATACAAGTGCATGGCTTGTGTACATAAATGGGTAATTTTTATAGGTCAAATATATCTGCAGTTTAAATTTTCGTGTGAAATAATAGTTATGTTTTAAATATTGTAGGTAATACAGTATAGTCCCATACATATCCATTATTAGAAGAACAATAAAATAAGGTATGGGCCTATGAAATATTATGGCAAAACAAGAATACAGGAGATCTCCATGTCATGGATGAAGTGATCTCTATCATGAGTAAAGTAGAACCCTATGGGAAGAAGCAGATCCCATGTCATGGATGAAGTCAACCCCTATGCTGTAGATGAAATAGATTTCTATGTCATGGCATGAAAAGAATGCCAAGACTTATCAAGAAGAAAAGCCAAGATGTAGCTAATGCCATCAGTAAGTGTTACATGAAACCATGTGTGTGTGATGTCATATTAATATACACACGTGTCTTGTGTGTGTGTGTTGTGGTTCAAATGAGAAGTGTCCCCCCATAGGCTCACTTGGTCCCCAGTTGGAGGCGCTGCCTGGGGAGATTGCAGAACTTTTACTGCTGCTGGGAGAACTATGTCATTGGGCAAAGGCTTTGGAAGTTCATAGCCTTGCCCTGGTGCCTGTGATCTTGCTTCCTGTTTCCTGTATGTGGTAGAGGCATGCTCTCTTAGTTCCTGCTCCTGCCATCATGTCTGTCTGTTGGATGTCTCCCCTCCATTATGAACTCTATCCCTGTGGCAGAGTAAACCTTCTCTTTTATAAGCTGCTTTTGGCCATGGTATTTACCACAGGTACAAAACAATAGCTAATATAGTAGTTAAAACTTTACAAAAAATGGGAGCAACCTTTGTTAAAATAGGGCTACCAGAGGCACAAAACCAGAATTGAGAATGGGCAGGAAGACTTTAGGTTTTTTTCTTTCAACAATATTTAGATTTACAGTGAATATTTGTAATGTATGCATTGCCCCAAAATAAACTATTAGACTATTTGAAAACAAAAACAGTCTGGTTACATGTATATAAACATATCTTGGGTTTATAAATGGGAAAATACCTGGAAATATTAGAAAGCAATTTAAGTTTAATATAATGCTATGATATTTTTAATGTGCTTTAAACTTAGCTTGATTTACAGACTACTTCAACTACCAAAAAATACTTGGAAAAGAATTCTCGGCCTGTGTTTTATGAAATATTTTGTTGTTCAATTAAAAATGTAAATGCTAAAAATACTTTACAAATTCACTTCTTTTAGGTTATCTCCTAAATGAATGTTATGTGTAAATATCTGGAGGCCTCTGACTATAATCCTGAGAAGTTTGGTCCAAACTCCATTGTGTTTTGGCTGTGATTGACACTTATTTACTTCAAATAAAACTAATATGTTGAAACATTACATGCCTAGAAAAGCACGATGTCCACTGTTACGGCACACATCGTTTGTAAAACAATTCACAAGACAGTACACTATGAACTGTGTAGGCACACAGTTTTCCTCAGCAGTCATAATTCCGCAGAGCCTGAACAGCACGTTGTTAAAAGGACATAATGTTGTCTAGTCAGAGAGTGTTCCTGAAAATGGAGACTAACAGCATATGCTGTTCTAATGGAGAGAATACTGTGCCGGAGCTAGGTGACTTAACAAGCCTCTTCCCTATGCAACCATGAGAGCAGGCACATTTATTACCATTACCTATTCCCCAGTTTTTCTGAATTATCCTGATTAAACTGGATCGTCTGAGAACCACTGAGTTATAAGACAAACAAGGGAAAAGTATTAACCTCTCTTCTTAATTATTTTTATTTGGATTACCTGTTAATACTGTTCATAATGAGAATAATCACAAGGAAAATACTTTTAAATTCCCCTTTAACTCTTCCCTACTCTGTAGTAAATCATGTAAGAAATACAAGAAAGCTGATCACCCATTTGGGGATTTTACTACCTGTGATCCACACTATTTCTGTCAAGTTTTGGGTCTAAACATTATTTTAAAATCTTCCCCTCCAACTGATTTTGCAGCAATCAAAGATGACAGACAGAAGCTTGGAGCCTTCCTATGAAGGTCCCATGGGGAAAAAAATATCAGGGGAAAATTAGAACAGCAATGAAGAAATCCATCAAAACAAGCTGGTCTTCAGCTCCTGGAAAACAAATTTCTGAAGTGGACATAAGCGGCCAATTATGAAAAGTGGCTCCTGTAACTGTGATTCTGTAATTAAGCACCACCTGAATACATTCATAAAATTAGATTACCTTTCAAGAAAGCAGGAAGAGAGACAGAGGGGTGCAGATACTACAGACGGAAAAATCACTAAGAATTCAATAGGCCAGAGAGAATTCTTACGTTGCAGAGAAACGATAAGCACTCTGAGACATTCTAGGGGCAGACACCAAACCACTCTACTGCAAGAGCCACTGCAGCTAAAGTCATTAACAGGAGAATGCACTGGGCAGAAATGGCTCTAGTATAAAATGCAGAGAACAGAGGCCGTATTTAAAGTAGCAATAAAAAAGACATTTAGCTCCCTTTTGAATGCTATCTGCTTTCATTTAAAAAATTGATACGGAACTCATGGCATCCTAAAGAATTCTTAACCTGTAAAAACATATCTTGTGCTAAGGTCATTTAAATGTTAAAACAATCATTATCCCACATACTTAGTGAACCCAATGATGTAGGAGAAAGGCATCTTGCACTGGACCGAATCCATCTGCTTTTTAAGTTTAACTCATTCACAAAACTCATCTAGGAATAATTCTGCTTTTGATTATTCATTTATTTTTCTACAATCTCTTTAATATGTAATTAGGCTATTAAAAATTGATTTGTCTTTAATTGAACACAATGTTCTTTAGGCTTATTAATGTAGAACAAGTTTTAAATATTAACTGTAAGCTGGACAGTGGTGGCGCATGCCTTTAATCCCAGCACTCGGGAGGCAGAGGCAGGCGGATCTCTGAGAGTTCAAAGCCAGCCTGGTCTACAGAGCTAGTTACAGGACAGCCAGGGATCTGTCTCAAGAAACTCTGCCTCAAAAAAACAAACAGCAAAAAATATTAACTATCTTAAAAACCAAACATTTTTATGAGACCGAAATAATTTCACACACAAAATTTGAAGGCAAAATAATTTACTGTAATTGTCTGAATGGTAAGAGGATGGAAATAAAATCCTTATTACATTATTCTTAACAAAATCGCATTGTTCATATAAAATACTTGTTCAAATATTGCTATTATTTTAGGAGACAGCCAGGCCTACTTTGCTACACTCTAGTCTGTAGATTCAGCCAACCCCATATCAAACTATATCTGTGTGGACTGTGGATACAGCTGAGTAACAGAGTTCTTTCCAGACATGTACAGGCTCTGGGTTGGATCCCCAGCCCAGAGTGTCTGCCTGCCTGCCTGCCTGTCTTTATGTATCCATGTATGTATGTATGTATGCATGCATGCGTGTGTCTATGTATGCATATTTGGTGGGAATTACACACAAGCACAGATTTCTGAAGCCTGACAAGATCAAGATCAAGCACCACTGAATCTCGTGAAGTCGTTCTTGCTCGTGGGAGCCCCCTTTGCAGTCTTATGGTGCGAGAAGGAATGGCATGGTGAGACAGAATGTCCAAGCTCAGGACTCTTCTCTGCTTCTGGTGTAAGATCTAAGTCCCAGGAGCCCAACCTTAAGGACCGATTCAGCCTTAATTACATCCCAAAGACTCACCTTCAAAACTGCCTCACCACCTCTCAATAAGGAACACATTCCAACTGGGTTTTGACACGGGCAATCCAGATCCAAACCACTGCATTCCACCCGTGTCCTCCTTAAGTACGAGGCAATTATCTCCACCCCAAGCCACCTATGGGTAGCAGTGGGGCAGAAAGTATAAACATCCCTATGCCAAAAGGGAGAAAGAGGAGAAGGCAAAGGTATAGCGGAATCAAAGCAAGTCTGAATCACCGCAGGGTGGACTATGAATCACAAAATTCCAGAATAGTCTTTCATTCCATAGGCTGCCTCATGACACCCTAGACGCACCTTCGAGGTCTTGGGCACCCTGCCCTCACAGCTTTGCTGGGATCAACCTCCTGGGCTGTGTGCGAGGCTGGCTGCCCACTGCTGACTGTCTTTCCCCGGCTGGTGCACACAGGGCAGGGCTTCTGGGGATCCACTCCACCACGTTGTCCTCGGGGTTCCTCACTTTTCTCATCAGAGAAACAGCTGACAGACACCTGAAGATGTGCAGTGCGTGGTGGGGTTGCGACAGCAGAAGCCCTGTGGTAGAGGTGCTCACAGCTACGTAGATCAGGAAACAGTCTTGGCAAGGGCAGACGTCGGTCTATCTATTACCTCCTAGTAACCTACTGCCAAAGAGGCCACAGTTCAAAAGGATCCAGAGCCTCCCCAGACTAACCACCGGCTAGGCACCAGGTGTTCTGGAACAGGAGCCATGGCGACAGTTGATAGTCAAACTCTGACTCCCTAGCAGGAAATCCCTGCAAAGGTTCTTATAATATAGGCCTAGCCTCCCCCAGGCAGTTGGCAAACATTTTAAAATGCTGATGGACCCCATAGTCTATAGTCTGGAGTTAACATTATATGCATGGATGTAAATTTTCCTGCTCTTGTTTGGATCTGGCCCACATGTTAAAGGATAGGGCTTCCTAGAGTAGAACTATGGGACACTTTCATAGGTGAGGCCTCACGGCAATCTTAGGTCACTCAAGGTATGAACTGTAAGACTCTCATCATTTCCTGTCCACTTCCTGGGCATGAGATAATCAGTCTTGCCCTTCCAGCCTCTCCTCATTGTAATGCGCTGCTGCTTCATTATAAACCCAAAGCAAAGGGGTCAACCAAACCACCAGGCTAAGTCATATAACCCTTTTCTTTTCTAAGTCGATTGTCTTCAGTGTTTACCACAGTGGAAAGCTAACATGCCTGCCAAGGTTGACAGTATGCTCCCTGTAGAACAGTGACAGCACCAGCCGGATCTGGATCTGTGTGAGCCACAGGGAGAGTGGTCAACTCTGTACTGGGTGGGGTTCAGGGGTTCAGGGGGCAGAGTTCCCTGACAGCTCCGAATGGCGAGCCAATGGAGAGTACTTAGAGCCTGTTCCCCCAAACCAGCCTCTCTCCTCCTCAGACCAGACCCAGCCAGCACAGAGAAGTTCTGGGATCCCACTGAGATCTCCATCCTGTTGGAATGGCAATAAACACCGGCTTCCTGCTGGGTGCCTGTGTCTTTAGTAAACAGTCACTTGGCCACCGCTTGAGGTTCTCTGCTGAATGTGCTTTCATCCTTTGCATTCCCTCACTACAGTCCCTAAACTTTACACTCTGCTTCCTTCTTAGAGTATAAATTAGAATTTGCCTTTAAATGATTCTTTTCCAAGCTTACATGACCACACAGCTGAAGTAATCATAGCAGCCCAAAGGTTTGGGATTTACAATGCAATATCCTAGGACACCCACAACTCACTATTATTTGCTTTTTCTCTAATATCCAATAAAGGATATCCTCACTTCCACATTTCTCACCATTCCGATGATCACAACCTCAGATAATCTACAACTTTCCAAATTTCCCCTAGTTTTCTTATCTTCTCATCCCTCATGACCTAAATGTTCATGGCATTTAGATTATTCATTTCCTGAGCTCTTCTAAATTCTTTCAGCCTCTACTCATTTGTTCTTGGCACCAATTTCCTATCTTAGCCCATTTTCTGAGAATACTACTGGCTGTGTAATTTATAAAGAACAAAGCAAGCCTGACAGCAGTGGTACACGCCTTTAAACCCCAGCACTCAGCTCTTGGAAGGCAGAAGTAGGCGGATCTCTGAGTACAAGGACATCCTGGTCTACAGAGCAAACTCCAGAAAAGCCAGGGCTACACATAGAAGCATGTCTCAAGTAAAAAAAAAAATTTAAAGTTTATTCAGATCATGGTTCTGGAGGCTGAGAGTTTTAAGGTAAAGAGATCAGCTCCATTGGGAGCCTTCCTGATGGTGGGAATACTACAAAGTCCCTGAGGTGACATAGGACATCATATGGAAAATGACGTACATATACCTGCTGTTTGTAAGACACACTCCCCAAATAATCCACTAGTGGCCTAATTTCTTCACGAAGGTAGAGGGCTCAGGACTGTATTCTAAAGAATTTCACTCGCTAATGCCTCAGAGGGGGATTAAGTGTTATCATCCAGGCAAACCTGGCCTCTCCCCTTGGGGACCTGGCAGAGTGTGTTACTTTGCATGCATGGCAGGCAGTACCCTAGCTCTATGCTGGTGCAAAGGTCCCTTTAAGAGACAAGCTCTGCCTACTCCCTCTGCCCCTCTGTTTTTTTTTTTTCCCTAGGAGGCAGGCAAATCTGTCTCTCTCTCTCTCTATCTCTGACTCTCTTTCTGTCTCTGTCTCTGTCTCTGTCTTTCTTTCCTCTCCCCTCTTCTCCTCTCCTCTCCCTTCCCTCCCTGCACTCCATTCCCTTTCCCCAATAAAACTTCCTTCCCATGTAAGTTCTACCTGCAATTTATTCATCCCTTACCCCCTAGGGATCCACCAAGGTCCCACCTCGTGCAGCATAGCATGACATTAAGTTTCAATGAGACTGTTAGTGAGTATAGTACAAACCACAGCACAGATTATGAAAAACAAGTGGATGCATAGGCAACATTATATGATAAGCCCAAATAGTTCATATGTACCCAAATAGCACTTTTTAAAAATCACTTCTACATGCACCAGTATTTTGCCTGCATGTATGTCTGTGTGAGGATGCTGGATTCCCTGGAACTGGAGTTACAGACAGTTGTGAGCTGCCATGTGGGTGCTGGTAACTGAACCTGGGTCCTCTGGAAGAACAGCCAGAGCTCTTAACCACTGAGCCATCTCGCCAGCCCCCCAAATAGCACTTTTAAGCATTGTTCTGCACATCTGCGTTTCCTTGAATGGTCTCAAGACAATGATCCATGAGTTTCTGGAAATATGCAGGTAGCTAACCTGTACAATTTGTTCAAGGAGTTGCAAAAAATGTGTGACTTGGTTGCCTTGCCTTGGTGTTTGAAGCAGCAGTAACAGGCTCAATATAAGGAAAAGAGAATGCATGGACGCTTCCAGTCAGCATTTTCACCTTCTGACAAAACTGCAATTGTGGTAGGGAGAAAAAGTTAAAAGTTGTTAAATCAAAAATATGTGTGACATGTCACTATCATACCACACCAAGACAGTATGGCTTCCAAAACAAGGGAATGGCGTCTGTCCCCAAGCAGGTTATGGTTAGGTATAAGAGAGACATAAGAAGGCGGCAGCTCCTTTACAATGTGATCATGATGGTAAGGAAGACAGAAAGAGGTGTGTGCACGCAGGTCTCTGTAGGATGGGAGAATGGAAACACTTTCCTGGTTACAAGTGTCTGCTTGCATCAGATGGTCTATTTGAGCAGCCAAGGACGAATGGGGAGAGCAAAGGAGAGAGGGCATTATTTAGGGATAGTGGGGAAGAAAAGGGTTGCTGGAAATTTTCTTTTATTTTCTTCTTAAAATATAATAAAGGAAAAATGAGTATATTTACTTTCAAATCAAAGACTATTCAGGGCATGATTAGTACCATAATAGAATTTTAAAATATTACCCAGAAAACAACCAAAGAATAATTCAGCAAGGTATTTACATGTTCTTCATCTTACCTTCAAAAATAAGAACAAGGAATAGGAAAATATTTACTCAAAGTTCAAATTATCACCTTCCAAACTCTGAGTAAAACATTCAGCTATACATTATGATGTCACTTTTTGATGGTCAGGTGCAGATGACTTCTGCATCAGCTAAGAAGCCATTTTACTCTACCAGTTTTCCTGCCATCAGGACCTAACTAAACACTGTCTAAATGAGACTCTGTGTCATCATTTCATGCCTACTGCCTATGCCAGTATGAAACTGCTTCTAGATCACCAAATAACAGCATCATGATCTCAAATGAGTTGGATGCTGAGGAATTTTTCAGAAAACTCACTAGTGAGTGGTCAGTCGGCAACATCGGTACCCTCACTCTCTGTGATGGACAGTACCAGAGATGGGCTGCTATGAAGCTTATCTGGGTCATGTTACATGTCACAAACTTGTCCATGCACGTTTTACTTTATTGACAGAGTGGGTTTTTTTTTAATGATCAGCAAGATACAAACTTTTAAGATATTTTACATAAAAAAACAGACTCTCCAATATGTGTATACATAAAAATGCTAGTGAAACACATTAATATGCACAGTTGGGGGCTAGAGAGACGGTTCGGTGGTTAAGACCACTAGATGCTCTTCCAGAGGATGTGGACGCCATTCCCAGCTCCTGCGTGGGGTCTCACAACTGGCTGTAACTCCAGGGGAGCTGATGCCATCGTCTGGTCTCTAGGGCACTACAAACAAATGACGTGCACGTAGACATGCAGGCAAAGCACACATGTGCACGGAATATTTTTTTAAAAATATATCTTATGCCCGGTTGCTATTCATTAATTACAAAAAGCAAAATGTGACTAGCAGAAAATATTACAAAATATAAAAATCTAGATTCCCTACCTTTAAAACTCAGGTAACTTAGGCCAGCAAGATGGCTTAGCAGGTGAACTCTTGCCATCCAAGAATGTAAGCGTAGCAACCTAAGTTCAATCTCTGGGACCCATGTAAAAGAGGTAACCAACCCCACAGAGTTGAACTCTGTCCTCCACACATGCACCATGGCCACGATAACAAATAAAATTAAGTTCAAACCTTAAAAGAGAAACCTGAGAAACAACCTAAATATCGTGGAAGCGGCTGCCTTATTTAGGGCCACACATTTCTCAAGTGTGTCCCTTTGTCATCACACTTAGTTCTGGAATTCATTGGCCAGATTGTACGGGTCTTAATAACTCATACAGAGACCAGCTAGACTGTTGTTTCTTTGGAAATTAAAAAAGTAACCCTGACTGTCATTCATTTGAGAAGTTCTCTAAGATAAATTAATTCTATTTTATTTCACATATTTAAAAATATATAGGAAGACACAGAAAAAGTCAGAGGTGCAGAATGGTTAAAATCGTATTTTAAAAAATTTCAATTTATACCAACAGTTAAAAAAGATACAAAACTTTTAATGCAAGGAATCATGATGTCCTGAATGCAGTCATTCCTTGTTTGGGATTAGTTTGTGTTTACCCAGCTGACAGCAACTTCCATCTCACCATTAGCAAGAGGCCTTTTTGCATCCTTACCCATGCGACAAATTCTCCTTAACTGTGTGAAAAGCCCATGCAAATGGCTTACCAAGGCTCCTTCACTAAAGCCTGCTGAGGAACCTCAGCTCCAGAGTCTGCTTCCTTTTGGTCTCATAGAGGGTACTGCCTGGCTCTGATATATTTTAAAAAATACTTTATTAGAGTTTTAGCCCTCATTTTATTGTTGCCCAACTGGCCAGAAATGGCATCTCAACTCAGTAACATTGGAAATAGTGGGTTGCTTTACTGTAGTGTTTCCAAGAACTTTTACTGTTAATATATGCCTTAATCTGTCTGGGGCTATAGGAAAATTCTCCGAGTGAGTGACAGAAACTGCTTATAGGGTTGAGATTGACAAGCTCAAGATGACGGAAGTGCTGTCTAATGAAAACCTGCTTCCATGTCCATAAACTCTCACATGGAGAAATAGGCAAGCAAGCTCGCTGGGGTCTCTACTTTACTAATCCATCAATCAGGCACAGCCCTCAGGGGCCTCCTCCTAATAGGGCCACGTTTGAGGAGGACATAGATGTAGAACCTTTTCCAAACAAAATTTAACCAGAGCACACTTTGCTTGATGACGTTCTTGGGAATCTTTTGGGAAATACTTTAAAATGAGTTGTTTTTTTACAATCATTAATTTTATAAGAGTTCTTTCTGACTGGTTTTCACTTAGAATGTTAAAAACCATTGAGAGTGTATCAAAAAAAAAAAAAGAAGGAGAAAAGGTGAATGGATCATAGTACTCCTGAGGAGAGCAGCGATGACTGAGTGAGTCCTCAAGAGTTTTGTTTTTTTGTTTTGTTTTGTTTTGTTTTGTTTTTATGAGACAGAGACAGGGTTTCTCTGTATTGTTTTGGAGGCTGTCAGTCCAGCCCGGCCTCGGACTCACAGAGATCCGCCTGCCTCTGCCTCCCGAGTGCTGGGATTAAAGGCGTGCGCCACCACCGCCCGGCCTGAAGAGGACTTTACATGGGTACACGAGCTCTAGATTACAGTGGAAACCCCAGTCCATGACTGAGTCTGTGCCATAAACTTTCTTTTCCTGCCTCCCTGATCTCTGGCTCCAGAGGCTTCACTCTTAGCCCATTGCTTTGCATGTGGAAGACTCCCCGAGAAAGCCAATGTCCCCCAACTTGGAAGATCTGGAGTGTGTCCACTACCCCAAAACCAATTATAGTTTCTCTCTGAGAGGAAGCTGACATCCCTACACCTAAAATTCTGTTGCTACCTGTAGGAAGAGATTTTAAATACCTGTGCCGCTGACCACGCCCGCTTTGGGCACGGCTACACGCACTTAGGGACATGGGAATAAAGGGCGGTGCAGGGCAGACACTCGCTCTCTTTTCGGGGGTTCAAGTTGGGTCTCGGAAGCCGCTGAGACCAACCTGGGTTGCCGGTTTGTCTTGTACCTTCCACAATACACAGTCACCTATATCCTTCATAAAGTGTGCGATTTATATTGCAGTGACAGTTACCATCTTGTTGAAGTTTAGTACTGTTTTCCTGGTAAGAGAGTAGTGACACCAAATCAAAAGAGAGATA